CTAATACTAACTAATGATAATTCACAATAAATATAAATTACATAATTATAAACAATTGTTTCAAATTATGTATTTTAACATCAATATTATATTTTTCTTTTGTAGCTCATATAAATATTTCTTTAAAAACAATTAGTATATTGTTTTAATAGCATAGTTAAACAACTTTAATATCTTATAAACAATTGTTTTTAATAATATATATATATAATTGCTAGCTAATCATTAAATAAAACCTCATAAATAAAATCTAATTAATAAAACTTCATTTATTTTCCCTCCAAAAGAAGTTACAAAATTTGTCATTTGTATTTTGTCTTTCATATTTTGAAACAATAAAATTGTTTATAGTTATGTAATTTATATTTAGTGTGAAATGTTATGAGTTGGTAATAGCATTAACTATTATATAATATAATAGCAAAAAATTACATGATTAGTAGGGTGTATTAATGTGAAGGCAAATATGAATGACAAATTTTGTAACTTCTTTTTGAGGGAAAATAAATGAGGTTTTATTAATTATGTTTTATAAATACATGATTACACTTAATGAGGTTTTATGAATGATATTATTATTATTATTTTAATTTTATATTTCATGAAACAATTTTCTTTAGAAACAATTAGTAAATAATTTTAACAGTATAGTAAAAAACCTTTAAAATCTTATAAACAATTGTCGTTGTAATAATAATAGTAATAATAATAATTATTATAATAGTAATAATAATAATAATAATAATAATAATAATAATAATAATAATAATTATAATAATAATAAAGTTTTCAAGTAAATTATTTGACCATGATCCCTCCAAATTATAAAAATTACATAACCCACAATTTTTTTTTAATCAATATAGTGATTCATATGTACTCAAATAGTTTATATAAATATTATTTTATTTTTACTAATGATTAAATTTTGAAAATGTGGTATATCCATTATCTAGAATTTTAATATTAAATTCACATATCTTGAAAATGTGATATGTTTATTTTCTAGAATTTTAATATTAAATTCACACATCTTGAAAATGTGATATGTTTATCATCTATAATTTTAATATTAAATTCACACATATTACTTATAATATTTTATGTACATCTGTGCATGTGCACAGGATGATAACTAGTAAAGATCAATATATATAAAACTCAAATCAAATTGTTCAAACCGAACATTAACTGACATACAAACCAACCTACCTAGATAGCTAGATAAGCAAGAAACGAGCTTATACACATGATAAGCCCTAAGAAACCACCAAGGGTTACAAAAGTCATAAGATCAAATGGAAGCAGTAAAATTACAGTACACAAAACTCTGATAAAGCTGCATTATATCATGAAAGACCCCAGACAAGGCAGATGGTAAATTTTTGATCATTTTCAGTTGCAGTAGAGTTTCTTCATCTGAAATGCTGCACTCTATGTTTTTCCATTTCCTCTTTGCTGCTCCATCCAAAGCACCCCTCACTGCCAGCATCAATGCCACTTGGGGTCTTCCACTCCATTTTCTTCATCTTGCCAACTATGCCACTTGAGAAGAGATACGGTAGATATAATTGTAAAATCATGATTATATGTTTGGAGTTGATTAGGCTTTCATATCAGTCCCATTTGTTATTGTATAAAAAGGATTAAGTTGTTTGGTTTGGCACTTTTCGGCCCTCGAAATTGAGCTCGGCCTGGACAAATATCATTATTGTATCCCACCAAATTGGCAAGATAGTGTATCATTTCTCATTTTCCTCTTTTGTCCATCTTCCTTCTTCCTCTTTTTTGTGTTGTTACGATGCCTTCCCTAATTTCTTTGCCAGATCCACGCCGTTAAGCTCTCCAACGGCGGCGACCACCACCACTAATCCCATCTCATCTTCCCCTCCGCCAGATCCATCGCCGCCAGTTCCTTCTCAGACCCCATCGACTTCTGCTCCTTCGACCATCTCTGTCCGTTGGCCCCCTCCCTCAGTCACTCGATGTCTTCGCCTTCCCCCTGCCATCGTCGACCCGCCACACGCCTTTCCAGCCCCCATCGACTTTCGCTCCTTATGTTTGTGTTATATACTGAAAGTTTGGCTTTGGATAATATTACACTTTATGTTTCGTTGAATGAGAATTATGTTTGATTAAATAAATCTATGTTCTGTTGTTTCGCACTTAGATAAGATGGTTTATTATCGGGTGAACAGAAGATCATTTTATCAGTACTTGCGATACAAGAATTGTTGGTTCACATCCTAGATGGAAATGAACAACCCATCAGAACAGTTGTAGTGTCAACGGTAGAGTTGATCTTAACTGATTAGTTGCACTAGTACATTTATGTATTGAATAGGATACCAGCGAGTAGCAGTTTGTTTTATACTCGTAAACAAACTCAAGTCTCGGTTAATTAATGTGTTCTCTTAACCTGTAAAATATAAACATGCATGTACTTATGATAATTATTACTCTGATTCATCTAAATGAGGTTCAGCTTATTGAGTCAACATACTTGCTGTTTTGGGTAATACTATTATATGTTGTAGATAATGCTCCCCTACACACGGTGGGCAAATGTATTATGCCCACCGCTTATGTGGCATTCAAATATTGGTGAAGTTAGTATGTTCAAAAAAATACACCATCAATGTGTGCATACCACATAAGGGGTGGACATATTAATATGTGCCCACCGTGGGTAGGTGAGCATTACTCGTTATGTTGTAGCGCCTGAAAAGATTATTATTAATTTCATGTATTTTTATTTTATTTTATTAAGCTCGACTTGTTAAGTTTATTAAAATTAAAATTTAGTGGATGTCCTCGTCCATTTAGTTTTATTAATAAAAAGAAGAAGAAAATGAGATTAATTAGATGTCCCCATCCATTTAATTTATTTTAATTAAAATCCCTTTAATCCTAAATTTTTAATTATTTAATTTATGTCCTAAACAATAAAGGAGAAGGGATATTAATCTAAGTTGATAAAAGAGCCCATAAAATCGGCCCCTCATCCTATCACGTGAGAATTGAAAGAAAATGAGTTCTTGCCTTGGTCATCAAGTTAATTCATGAAGGATATCCTATTCCTACCAAAATAAAGACTCATTTTATTTTTTCAATTCTCATAAACCTAGCACTATAAATATATCCCCTCTCTCATCAGATTTATTTTCCCTACGCTAATTATTTCACAACATCATAAAATTCCATCATAAAACAAAAGGAAGTCGAGCCCCTTTTCTCTCTTAGCCAAGTACCCCTGCGTGCCTCCTTGACGTCGGCGACCCGCCAGCCTGTTAGAGGTATGCTGTAAAAGCTGTGTTTTGCAGTTTCTATCAATTCCATTTTGATCTGGCAATCATGTTTCGGTCAAAGTACACATGT